AGTTAAGGGATGCAAAAAGCACGTTGCCTTTATTATTTGAAAAGATCAGGATTGATGATAATGCCTTCTTAAACACTGTATTTCGGTCATCTAAAATGCTTTTCTGTATGTGAAGTAGATAATAAAAAATAGTAAAGGTAGTACGGTGACCTGTCAATCAAAAATTTAATTAGAAACGAGCAATTGATTGTAGAATGAGAATCAGCATTTCTTGTAGCCAGCTCGTCCTGCTAGGTATGGCTTTTAATTTTCCTTTTTGGTTTACTTTGAACAGTTGACGATGCGGACCTAAATCATATTACTTGTTGTGTAAAGGGTAGAATTTAGACCTTGGCAGCTTGGTATTGAATAACTCATTGTGTTGGACCCTTTTGTTACTTTCAAACAGGGAATGATATATATTGCGCTCGGTAAAAACGATATAGAGCGTAAATAAAATTGAAAATGAAATGGACAATACTCTTTATATTATAATTAATTTAATTAATTTTTGTGGAGGACTCAGTCGAGCTAACATTTGCAAATTTTCTACAATACAAAAAACTTTGTGGTTCTTTTCATTTAAATTAACCAACGACGATTGGTAATTAATTTGAATTACAGTATCGATACCGCCACCTGATTGAATTTGTAATTATGTCGGTACTTTCTCTTTTGTTCTTGAAACAATTATAAGGTTCGCTGATTTTGATACAATTAAGAGGCTTGTAAAAATAAAAAAATATTTTATACCACTGCGGTTTTATGGCCTAACAAAATTCACGCTCTTTCTCATAACAATAAATTTGGAGTTGTTAAACTTATTTCAAGGGCAATATTCTAAACACCATCATCATAAGGTCGTCAGACCTAAGACTGGTTGGACACGCTCCTCCACTCTTTCCTATCCTGAGCTAATCTTCGCATTTCCTTAAAACTAGAACATCCCACATCCTTAACTATTTGCGAACAGTAATCCAAACTAGGTCTACCTCTACTCCTTTTAACTTCAGTTTCTGCCTTTAATATGCCTAAGAAAGTGTCCTACCAATCTATCTCGCTTATTTTTTATTTACTTCTATAGAGTCCTCCCGTAGGAAAAATTTCCATTCTATTTCCATTAAAAAATGCCATTTAATTACCACTGACTATAATTATTGGTAATAAATGGAGAATTGCCAATGGGATGAATGGAATTTCCACTAGAATTCTCGAACTTGATGGGACTTCCCTTGCGTTCCATAGGAACTTCCATTCCTGAACCCAATGGAAATCCTAGTGTCAATTCTTTATTTTTTACTTTTAATTATTGCTAGGGGTAATTAAATGAAATTCTTTTTAATCAAGGTAAAATATGAGGAAAATATTAATTACATGACATTTATTATTCCAAATAATGTCTTGTTTATTAATTTTACAACTTGCTGTGACAATCAGCACGTTTCTCTCCATTTCTTTAATAAATTTTAATCATCTCAGACCAGATCTTCTCCATTTTTAGGTACCAATTGTTTTTCCATTTAATGGTTTTAAATAGAATTTATAAATTTTGCATTGGTTCCCATTGAAAATCAATGGAAATTTTTCTTATGTAAATATTAATGGAATTATTGTAAATGGAAACAATTATTTTTCCAATGGAATTTACAAATTTTCCATTGATTCCCATTGAAGTTCAATGGAAACTTTTCCTACGGGCTCTGTTCTCCTTTTCTTTCTAATCCACGGTATCCTCATTATTCGCCGATAACACCACATTTCGAACGCTTCTAAACTTTTCTTTTCCGTCGCGCCCACTGTCCATATTTCGCACCCCTACATTGTCGCTATCCTCTGCTTTATATCCCTACTACTCCTTCCGTTCTAAACATCAACCATTTGACATTTATGTGAAGAAAACTATCGATATATATAGACTATCTACACTTAGGTAGATTGTGATTGAGATTTTAAACTTGAAGTTGACTGTGTAATTCGTAATTCGATGTATCGGATAGTGATTTTACCGGAAAATCGAGTATCAGACAAAACCACTACAGTTAGAAGCTCATGTTATCATTCGGACAGGCTTTTCATTAAATGTCTTACGTTAATTTAGCCGCTGCTAATTTTTTTCTCTCTTGGTCTGCTCCAGTTTCTAAAACTAGTCGCGATCCATTTTCGCTAATTTACACGTAGGTCGGTGTCTTGTAACTTTTTACTTTGCTCAACACTCTAAAGGATAATGATGGCGTCGGCGTCGTACACACGTATTATCTCCGTTATAATAATTGCTACAACGTTTTTGTGTTGGTCAACTTGTTTGTTGAGGGCAATAAAAAGTACACGTATTGTTGTTGTTCCGGCAAACGGAACTGATGTTATGGTTATGGCAGTCGCAATTCTCTCGTGTATGTAATTAGCCCTCCAAGTATGTCATGCCGAACAGGTACGTTTACTTATACAAGTATCAGATTTTTCATGTAAAGTATACAAACCCAAAGTGTGGGTTACATATTCGTAAATATTGAAAAAATCTATCCATCTGTAACTTTAAAATAGTGTTTCCGTAGATCTGAAGAGATACATTTATTACCGTGTACAGTAGAACCTCGATTAGATAAAGACCAATCATCATCATCATCATCATAGGGTCGTAAGTCCTGAGACTGGTTGGACATGTACCTCCACTCTTTCCTATCCTGAGCTAAACTTCGCATTTCCCTAAAACTAGAACAGCCTACATACTTAACTATTTGCGAACAGTAATCTATACTAGGTTTACCTCTACCCCTCCTAACTCCTGTTTCTGCCTCTAATATGTCTCATGCCTGAGAAGGTGTCCTACCAACCTATCTCGCCTATCTTTTACTGACTTCCATCTGTTCTCCTATTCTTTCTAATAAAGACCAAGAGAAACGTAATTAAGTCATTAAGGTTTTTACTTACTAAGGGTTTAAGTTTAAGCTTTAAAATTATGGATTTCCAGCTTTTTCCTTTAGTATAAATCCACTAACACTAATGTTTTTACATATTTCTACACTGTCTAAACCATGTAAACAAACATTCTTTTTAAATTAGGAAATTCAGCAATTCTTCGTTTTTTTACATAGAAGACTTTCTCCCGATTCAAACCACTTTTCACTGCTTACTGACGTGCGATGCCCAAATTATTCGTTTAAATTATAGAGGGTTTTTATTTTAAGTTAATAGAGGTTTTGGACTCCGAGGGTAAGTTAACACAAAATTTTATGAATTCATAGAGGTTATTTACGTTATCAAGGTTTAAGTTATCAAGGTTCTACTGTATTACAGATCTAAAGCCGTTGCTCACCTGTTTTGGTTCGATTTTCGGTCGACACAATGGTTTTTTTGATCAAAAAAATTAGCTTTTTAACGGGTATTCTCCGGTTATACTGAAGCCTAAACCACTGTAATAATGCTTGACCTATCTGTTGTTGAATTGATGCCCTGATACGTTTACAATTTAAAACATTGGTATTGAATGAGGGTTCTATCTTTTTTAACTTTTTTTATTGTGGATATTGTAGAATGAGACACCAAACCCCCTCGCGAGGGTCACATTTGACTTCTAAACGGTGTAAAATAAAACCTTTTTCTTCAATTTTCGCTTCACAGACCTCATTGTGTTGAGCTTCTAACTTTGTCAGAACAAGTGATAAACACTAACTGTGATTTACGCGCGTTAATAAGGATAGCGTTAGCACGTTGGTGCGTAGTTTTGTATGCAAAACACTGTGCGTCGTTCTAACCGGAAGAATTATCATTGAAATAGGTCGCTATAAGCAGATGGTTGCTTAAATGGCAGCCGTACTAAACGGATATGTTTTCCTACTACCTAACTATGCAACTTAACTTGACTTTACATTGTCGTCGCTAAAAAGGGTTGGCCGTTATAAACGAATTTACTTCCTTTAATTGATTCGTTTTCGTCAGAAAATTTAATAAAGCAGTTATAATAAGTGGGACAATATCTTCTACTTTAGATCTCGTTTATCGGTCACGACGAAGTAATTCCTGTCATCACCCACGTCTATTCGTTCCACCCATTATCGTATTTGCCGTATCAGTATAATAATAAGAGAGACAATTGTGCGCGTGACACATACCAGAGCACACCTGGATGGCACGCAGCCATATAAAACAGAAACAAAAAACGCGCATGATTAACTATCATAAACCGTCATTGTCGCTCTTATTACCAGACACATCGGCACCGTGACACCATTTCTCTTTGCCTTAATATAATTATGGTTGTACGTGGATGCATGTATGTATGGATGTAGGTTGATGAATAGCCGAAGACAATTAGCGCTTTTAGTACAGTAGCGGTTTTAAACTTGTGGCTTCTATGCATGGATTGTAGTCGGTCTCTTTTTAAATTTCGCGTCGGTGTTTGTGAAAATGAAGAGAAAGATATTTTAATAGATCTCAAAAAGAAAGTCGGCAACAATCATTCGATTGGAATTTTGAATGGTGCAGGGACGATCTCACCAGATTAGGTTTATTAGGATTACAAAAATTAATCAGGAACAGTAAAATCCTATTCGACAATCGAATAGGTATAGTAGAAGAAGTAGAAACATTTTAATGAAAAATGCTCTTGCTTGGGGTCAATTGTTTTTTTAAAATCTATCATAAAATCTTTTTTTTTTTATTTTTACCGTATCTAATAAATATAATTTTATAAAAAAATTCAAAGGAAAACTTGTAAAGTAAAGGTACAAACCTTGCATTCACATTTCGGATTACATCCCCAGGAGCATCGGATCCTTCCAGATGTTTGCTCATAATTATAAATAATAAATTCGTTCTATATATCTGCAAGGCTGTCAGTAGTCCCCTTTAGAAAAAGCCAATAAGAATACATAGTTTTCCCATTCAATACGTCGTAACGCATACGGAAAAATATTTATAAGAAATATTGGTCACTTTACGTAAGTCCATCAGTCACATATCTTATACACTTTGGATTATATCTAAAAAGGTTACGATTATTATTAAAGCAGCTTTTNGCAATAACTAATAAGTTTTTCACTTCATTATTAGATTCAGTTGACCTTTACTATAAAAAATACAATCACATGCATAATCAGGTTACATAACAAAAGTGCTTTTTATCGTACAAATTGAAGCATGACCTTGAACAAACAAGTACGTAACACCAGGTAAATAGCTACCTGTAAATCAACCTGTTGTGAAAATTGTACGTTTACTATACCATACGTCTTTGTTTTCGGCTTATCTTATAAATTAAATGAGTTTTTTTTGACAATTACATACTTTAAATTAAGTTTCTGTCATTCCCATTTCTTACTTTCTTTCTTGAACGTATTTGTAAAACATAAAACGTAATGTTTAGTTTACCTGGTGTTTGTGTAACATGTTTTAAACGTCATCGACGGCTGCTTATCTCTCATTGCATGTAGATATTTGGTTGAATGTCAAAACAGAATGTTAACATTAAACAGGACACTTCAGGAGGCATAAAAACTTGTAGGTTTATTTTGGTTTACCGGTGCGAAACCGTTTATGGGCTACTTGATTTTGTAACGAAAATACTTGAAGGCCTCTCTCCCCAAAATTCACTTCGTTTATTGAAAGTTGAGGAAATTTTGGTTTTTAAATATTGAATTCTTCTTATTTTGTAGTTATGGTTACTTTCAGCCATATTCACTTGAAATGGAGAAAAAATCATTCGAGCAAAAAATTTGTCATTTGTCTTTTAGTTTTCTTCCCATTGCTTTTACATTCACCTAAAAATTACCCTTATAGACGAATGTATAACTTCGAGTATTCAACTTAAATTATTCGTTGGTAATTTCCCATTTCTGAAAGAACTCCTCGGCTATGGGGATGACGCTTTATTATTAGGTTATTCTTCTAAAAATGTATATTACCTTCCTGATTTCATTCAACACAATTTCTTAAAACACTTTAGGTATATTATTGGTTCCAATGCGAAGTAAATGTTTATTAGTTTTGAGTCCTTGTTGCAACAAAAAGTTGTTTAGAACCATTAATCAGTTTATTAACAAATCCCCTAAATCCGCTTTGGTTTTTATTCTAAACCTAAAATGATCTCTTTTTGCGACTTGAATATGTTTGAGTTTTAATTAAAAGATTTATAGCGCCGTCCTAACAATTTGTCGCTGGTATAATTAATCTCTATTAAAAAGCAAATAATACGCTCGTTGTTACGGATTTTGTAAGATATTTAACCAAGGTAGGAAGTCAATTTGCATTTTTGCAGGTCAAACATTCTATTCTTCATAACAACAGCAGAAGGTTTTTTATTTTTGACTTTGTTGTATAAATGTTTTACTGGGTCTAAGAAAATCCAAAAAGTTTTAGTTCAATTAATTATTCTATTTACGAGTCGAGGCGCATTATCTAACTATGTTTTTTAAATCTCAGATGTAATGCAAATTGAACAGTATTTCTTAGTATAGATGATCAAATCAATAAATTCTTCCCGAAATCTCATCAAGCTCGTTAATGATCGTTTTGCATGTGAATTATAAACTTACTATGTAGAAGATACAGTTGCTTTTGAAACTGAATAACGTATTTTAATTAGAGCTTATCGTAAAATTTGAATTATTTTAGTAAAAGTACTGATTTGTTAACGAACTGCAAAAATGTAGACACTGAATGTCCTTTTCTTGGCATTTCGGTGATTTCTGTCTACTACTTTTCAGTTTAATCCAATCATATGTAAAGTAAAGTCCTAAAGTTCTCTAACTAGATTCTAAGTTTCATATCTTGTTAACTGTCACTAAAAATCGTCACAAAACGTTTAAACACCTGTCCTTTCAAATCAGACACTAATAGAATTCCACAACCACTGTCGTTGTTTTTATCGAATTGGTACCTTATTCATAAAAATTTTATAACTGATATTTTTATTCTCCCGTTGTACTTCGTATAGGTAATATAATTGATTAATGACTGTATTATATTCTCTAAACGTATGCGGTGAAACAATGAAGAATACATTTCCTTTTCCAATAATTAATCCTTTTTTTAATAGACGGTTATTGTTAGGATATTCTCATTTTCTTAACTGGTTTGGTAGTTTCTTCTGATAGCGCTTATATGTGTGATATTCTATTGTTGCGAGGCTAATAATCATCAATTTCCTTGCGAAAAGATCACTAACGGTAGTAAACAAATGACACCAATTGAGATGGATATATTATAATTATTTTATCATTGCAATTAAGTCGCGTGAATTTAAATGCCGATTCCGTTATTTGATCATTACTTAACCGCTTCTTTTTCATTTGCCGTCATTAGAAAGTATAAATAATATCTAGTTCATCGAGCATGAACTCATCATCGGGCTTGCCATAACGCACACAACAACAACAACAGCTGCAACTAATAACATAACGTGATGAAGAAGTTTTATAATAAAATCTCGAAGCCCCAGTGGCGAGTGTCCATAGCCAGCGTTACCAATCCGTCCTTCTTCAGACGGTCACCTTGCAGCAATAAAGAAGACGGTGGTGCTATGTCGGAAAAATCGTATTTGGAAGTCCCTAATAAGAAGAAGAACAGAAACTCTAGCGGTAGCTACGATCTTCAACAGGCTCAGCTGGAATTCGACCAAAACAATGCAATAATCGATAGTGTTGTGGTAGAACCGAATTTGAGCGAATCGGATTCTGAAGAAAATTACGAAGATGCACGCGGAAACTCCGATAAGATGAGCAGCGCAGACGAACTGGAGTCTTCTTTCTATGCGGATGCTATTTCGTCAACTCCAAACAAACTGGAAACGTCGAGCAGTTTACCACCAGCCAATGAGGAGTTTCACTACGACGTCCCTAAAATTAGTTTCTCATTTTTTGATGGTACAGAAAAGTCAACCGAAAAAGAAACGGCAGTCGAAGAACCGCCAGAATATGAAATCGTTACTGTCAGAACTGCAGTATGTAAACCTGCATTAGATGACACAGAAACAATACCGTTGTACTGTAACACAGAACAAGAAAATGAAATTCCTCGGGAAAAAGAATCCGGTCAACAATCTGGTGAAAATGGCATACAAGAAAACCCCATAGAGAAAGAACAGTTGTACGCACAAGTCAAGTTCCGGAACAAACACAGAAGTGAAATGAAAATCGTTTTGAAGGAAGGAGAAAACAAATCGCAACCGGATAACGAAGAATCTGTGATCGAGACAACTTTCGTCGACATGTATTTAACGAAAAGTTTAGAAGAATTCGATTGCGTGTCGCCCATGAAAAGCGGTAGCGATCCGAACATCTCCCACAGTCTGAACGACATCCCCGAAGAGGACGAGGAAAACATTTATAAAGTTCCCATAAACAATAAGAGATACCGTTTATCTCAATCATTAACTGATTTTAATTTAGAAGACGTGATAAATGCAGAAATCAAGACGTCTAATTCGGAAGATATAGAACACATATCTTGCAGTCAAATTTTGCTTGACGGATCGCAAGACGGTTCCGCTCAAAATTTAGAATATTGCAAAGCGAGAAGCAAGCTTCCGTTAAGATTGCGAAGGGCGACGTTCTTGAGGAAACCAAGGAACAAAGCCGCCGGTACGTGGTCTCATTTCAGAACGAAAGTGAGTAACCTTATGGCCGAACATGCTGCCAAACAAAAAATGGAAACTTTAACGCCTAATGGCGAAACCGACTCGCACGGGATAAATCTGGAAGAAATGTATAAAAACTCAAAGGATAAATGTAAAAAGGTACTTAAAAATACCGGGAAAATATTTAATAGTAAAGTGAGAAAAGATAACAGTAGCAGGGAACATGGTGATGGTGCGGCTTCGTCTGAGACCTCCTCGCAAATAATAAAAAACGATGCGTTCTTTGCGAAAGTGCGTTTAAAATCAACGGACATTGAATATAAATTTAACAATAACGGTGACAGTAACAATTATTGTGATAACACTAACGGTGTCGTGATCAACGATTGGACCTCAACAGTCGGGAAGAGTGCGATTGAAGATGCTGAAAAAGAAGAAAGAAACGGTGGATTGGACATGAGCACACTGAAGGCGCCATTCAAAAGGTCGAAATCTGTGCCTGAGGTAGGATTTTCAATTTTATGGGTTTTTGTTGCTATTAATTCCACAGTTTCCTTTACGCAATCCTGAACAAAAGAGCACAACATTCCATTTTTGAAATATAGTAGAATCCGCTTATAATGGCATCGAAGGGAAATGACAAACACGTCATACTAAGCAGGCGTCATACAAAGCATTAAACTTAGAAAATAACTTTCTACTTTGGTTAGTTATTTATTTTAATAGACAGAAAAACTACAAATTGTATATATTTATTAACAGTAAAAGAAAAAGAACGATGAGTTGTAATATCAATATACATAAGAAATGTCAGAAAAATGAGCGAAAATGTTATTATTACTCATTTGGGTTACTATAGCCGGATATGATTTCTTGAAAATCAGTCATAATAAACGATATGTCATCATAAACGATGTCATTATATCCAAACTCTCCTATAGAGAATTTAATATGAAAACCAAACTTAACACTGCAAGTACTTCATATTAAGCGATTCGTCAATATAGGCGGAGTCATAATAAACGAATTCCACTATACAAAATTACGAATACTGTCAAATGTACTTAATGTTTATTTTATTTTTTCAAAAACTTTTCATTAAAAAGATAGGTGCTGAGGCACCTTGTATAAAACGTATAAAATTGTTAAGTGGTGAATAATTAATTAATTAAAATAACTAGTGAATTGTAGACAAGTATTTTTTCTGATTGATTAATTGTTTATTGCTGTTAAAAAGCGTATTTATTAAACTATGATGAATTGAAGATAAATAAATTTTGCGTTCAACATTGGAGCAAAAATTGACAACTTGAATAAACAAAAAGGCTAATTTTAGTAAAACCTTTCGATTTCGAACATATATTTGGTCATATTGGCAGTTGTCCAAACAACTGTTACTTATCTCGAAATAGATTTTATTTTCTATAACTGATTTTCTATTGTGTGGCACCAACGCCCGTGTGTGCAAATTATAAAAAGCAAATCAAGTTTTAGTAAATGCATTTCCGATAGATTAACTCAATGATTCGTTGTCATTGAATGAATTGAATGCAATGTTTTTCTTCAATGAATGTTATTCACCTCGATGTGCATTTTTCTATCGGTAGATAAAACTGTTTCTACTGTTAACATACTAAAGCATGTCGTATCACAATAATATGATCTATTGAGCTTTTTCTTTACGTACAAAGTAAGTTACAAATTACAAGCAAAGCTTATTTCCGCATAGCGGAACCTAGGCCATTTACATGGGCAACTTGCATGGTTGTTCCGTAATGTCCGGTTTTACACGGAGTAAGTATACCTACGGTGCTAATAAAACTTGTAAAGGTACGTGGCAGTTCATGAACCCATTGGTTATTTAATGGGAAAACGACGATGAAACAGTTCATTGCAATTAATACGAATTGGCATTCTGATGTAATACGAGATGCTCCGAAAAACGTTCCAAACTTTGATTTTTACAGATTAACGACTGCGATCGATATTTATTAACGTAGTAAGTATATAATTGATAAATTTAAACAAGTTTTCAAAAAGAAAAAAATCTGCCAACTTCAAGTACTACTTGTTCAATTCGGATTTCAGTAGCGTGATAGAACTTGAAATTTTTCAAACCACTTGGTTCACTATTTATAGCATACTTTAGATTTTAATTGCAAACCACTGATTGCTACTACAGCTACAAAATATCTACTAGTATTAGGTATACAAAAATAAAACATACTAATTGTGAATTTCAACAGAGGTTTACTTGCTTATAATTTTATTTGTGGCATACATATTTCTTAAGAATTAGACGATCTATTCTGATCTAGGTAGTGCTAAAATCTAAACTTTGAACATGTTGAAATAATTTTTGTAGCATTAATTCAATGTTTAATAAGCTTCACTAATACATTTAAACATGTTCTTAGACGTATTAGAAGCAGAAACGGGAGTAAAGAGCAAAAGTGACTTTATGATTATTATTATAAAAAAGTTATAATTTGATTGATAACGAGCGAAACCCTCAACGAGCGGGTCAAATTATCACTTGACTAATTCTTTTATAAATGTGTATTGGATTTGGGCATGAATTATACTTCATTTACTTTCTCTAGCGATGTGTCTCTTCCAATGTCTTGGATGCGCGCTGGCAAAATCGTAGGTAGGGAGAAAAAAGCTCATTATACTCTCGACTCTTGTTCATTAAACATACTTTTTCATACAGTACCTGCCAAAAGTTTTGTTCAATCATGAATAGTAGTAGCCTTTAATATGTCGCGTTAAAGCCTTTA